ACCCTGTATAAAAGAGAGTCGGGTAGCTGCCGTTCGACATGGCCTCGTCTGGGTATCCTCTCTGCCCGGAGGCAGAGAGTTTGAGCAGCCCAACTGGAGTCGAATCTTTAACTACAGACCAACATACAGTATTTACTACTGTATTTATATCAATGGTGACACCCATTATCGACCGTAGGTATACTACAACATACGACAATGTTCAGCGCAAAGGGCAGCGGACTGACGATTTTAAATCTCCTCAATCGACCTCAAGGCTAAGCTCCAGGGAAAATAAGATATTATTAACTGGTGCAAGAAATGGCTTGTAAATTTTAAAACCCCCAAAACGAAACTGATATCCTTCAATCAACATAGTGAGCCATTTTTGCTCTCCCTCGGCATGGCTGATGCTAACCTCATTGCGCTTTCTTGGTCTCTCATTTTCTTCAGTCATCAAGTGGGGCGATTTCATTGAATCACTTATAAGTTCGCTGCTAAGAGGGATTCACTATGTCGTACCAGGCATTTTTTTATTTTTTTTTTTTGCATTGAATATTGCTGCCAATATCGATATTCTTGGTAAAATCCAAAGAATTCACTGATTGATTCATTGATTTTGCTCTGGTATCTCGAGCTCAGGCACTTACATGTCGCTATAAGGTGACTTCCCTCTATTTTTTTCCATAAAATATTTACATAGCAGTTGTTCTAATCACCTTAGTACTGCGTGAACTTCAGCGTATTGGCAACTAGGTCTCATCCTTTTACTGTTGAAATAGCTAGATTTAACCGTAATTATACTCTAACTAACCGAATTACCCACGCCTTACTGCGTGTCGCACATTTTTTTTTTTTTGTAAGAAAATAATGACTGATTTTAAATCATTGTTATAATTTGTAAAGAAAAATAATGCATTTAATATTACTAAGTGGTCTTGTGGGTGTGACCTCAATCTTCTGGCTTTCTTCTTCTATATTTTGGGTTGGAGTTATTCTCTGTTCAAATGAAAATTCAGATTAAATCAATGGGAAAAATTAGCGGGGTGTTTGTGTTCACCGGGGAAGCCATTTGATCGAAATGGAATATACTTATCCAAGTACGCTAGGAGGCATTCCCTTGTTCAAATTTAAATTTAATTTATATCAAAAGAAAAAAAATCAGTGGGTGATGAACACATTTAAACACACACTCAGATTTACCCGACACTATTAGGAACATACTAGTAGAAAACACAAATATATTAACTGCATCCACTTGCAAAAAAAGACTAAAAATAATGGAAGCTCTAATAATAAAAAAGAAAAAGCCAACTCTTAACAATATATATATATATATATATATATATATATATATATATAAAGACATTTTTATGTTTATACATTCTTTTTATAGATACAAATATTTAAGTAAATGCTCTGCTTTATAATAAACAGTATTAACGACATTTACAGGCCTGAATGTCCTATAAATTTTCATAGAAAATATTCGTCCTTCGATCGAGCCACAGAGGAGCGTTTAGGTTAGCAAGGTCGATTTTACTGTTTTTAAACTACAATTCTCCATGATTTTCTCTCGTATATTCATATCTGCTCGATGCGTATCCAATGTAGTTTCCATTTATTGATCCGAAATATTCTAATTTATTGCAGGATTTGAACCCGCGTTCCCCTAGGGAAACCATCATTTCGCATTCAAAATTAAACGAATTAATTTGTTAATTAATTTATTAATCCGACATATTTCAATTTATTGCTTTTGCGTTATTTAAAATGGCTACTTATATTTGAGGATATTTTCTGTTTTATTTATTTATTAAACAGTATATTTATTCATTTTCCTCTGCCGGCCTTGAATATTCGAGAAATCTTATTAGAAAAATGTGCGCTCTCCCACAGGATTCGAACCTAAGTTACCCTAGGAATATTCAGGCTGGTAAATGGAAATAAATAAATTCAGCGAGTGAAGTCTCTTGGTCATGGTCTTTGAACATCGTGAACAGGCGCTACACAATCACAAACAAAGAACTGTACCAAATAAAAGAAACCGCATCATTTGAGGACTGCCAAAAGCAGCGACAGCTAAAATGTATATCCCAACAGGAAATAACAGGAACAGGAAATAACAACATAATCAAGATGTTGATGTTCCACACTACTTTGAATAAAAGGTTAGGAAATAAAACACCATCAGTATTAGAAAGAGCGATAAAAGCTACGGGACTTGAAAAACTTATTTACTTGCAAAATGTCTTTTAAGCGAAAGGTTCTATAAACTTCAACCAAAAGCAATGCAAACTGCTCGTTTAATGGACGTCGGATGTTTCCTTGTAAAGAAACGACGAATATTATCATTCGATTAACATTAGAAGAAAAAAAAATCTTTTATCCCATCAAATACTTTCATGGTAACAGCTCCGAGGAGCTGCTTTCGCTGGTTACCAAACTTCATGAATTTAAGCGTTCTACTAGGCTGGCATCTTGCTCACACCCTTTCACTGTCGAAACTGTTAAATGTAGCCGTCTCTTCTACTCCAATAGCTTCATGTCTCGCACCTCTCGCCTGTGGAGCTCCCCTCTTTTCCTGTTACCCTATAATCTCCAACTATTCAATTGTAATGTCAATCGACGTCTCCAGATGCCCTGATCTATCCTTGCTCATCTCGCTCTCACCCTTTCACTGTCGAAACTGTTAAATGTAGCCGTCTCTTCTACTCCAATAGCTTCATGTCTCGCACCTCTCGCCTGTGGAGCTCCCCTCTTTTCCTGTTACCCTATAATCTCCAACTATTCAATTGTAATGTCAATCGACGTCTCCAGATGCCCTGATCTATCCTTTCTTGCTCATCTCGCTCACACACATTCACTGTCGAAACTGTTAAATGTAGCCGTCTCTTCTACTCCAATAGCTTCATGTCTCGCACCTCTCGCCTGTGGAGCTCCCCTCTTTTCCTGTTACCCTATAATCTCCAACTATTCAATTGTAATGTCAATCGACGTCTCCAGATGCCCTGATCTATCCTTTCTTGCTCATCTTGCTCACACCCTTTCACTGTCGAAAGAGTTAAATTTAGCCGTCTCTTCTACTCCAATAGCTTCATGTCTCGCACCTCTCGCCTGTGGAGCTCCCCTCTTTTCCTGTTACCCTATAATCTCCAACTATTCAATTGTAATGTCAATCGGCGTCTCCAGATGCCCTGATCTATCCTTTCTTGCTCATCTTGCTCACACCCTTTCACTGTCGAAACAGTTAAATGTAGCCGTCTCTTCTACTCCAATAGCTTCATGTCTCGCACATCTCGCCTGTGGAGCTCCCCTCTTTTCCTGTTACCCTATAATCTCCAACTATTCAATTGTAATGTCAATCGGCGTCTCCAGATGCCCTGATCTATCCTTTCCTGCTCATCTTGCTCACACCCTTTCACTGTCGAAACAGTTAAATGTAGCCGTCTCTTCTACTCCAATAGCTTCATGTCTCGCACCTCTCGCCTGTGGAGCTCCCCTCTTTTCCTGTTACCCTATAATCTCCAACTATTCAATTGTAATGTCAATCGACGTCTCCAGATGCCCTGATCTATCCTTTCTTGCTCATCTTGCTCACACCCTTTCACTGTCAAAACAGTTAAATGTAGCCGTCTCTTCTACTCCAATAGCTTTATGTCTCGTACCTCTCGCCTGTGGAGCTCCCCTCTTTTCCTGTTACCCTATAATCTCCAACTATTCAATTGTAATGTCAATCGACGTCTCCAGATGCCCTGATCTATCCTTTCTTGCTCATCTTGCTCACACCCTTTCACTGTCGAAACAGTTAAATGTAGCCGTCTCTTCTACTCCAATAGCTTCATGTCTCGCACCTCTCGCCTGTGGAGCTCCCCTTTTCCTGTTACCCTATAATCTCCAACTATTCAATTGTAATGTCAATCGACGTCTCCAGATGCCCTGATCTATCCTTGCTCATCTCGCTCTCACCCTTTCACTGTCGAAACTGTTAAATGTAGCCGTCTCTTCTACTCCAATAGCTTCATGTCTCGCACCTCTCGCCTGTGGAGCTCCCCCTTTCCTATTACCCTATAATCTCCAACTATTCAATTGTAATGTCAATCGACGTCTCCAGATGCCCTGATCTATCCTTTCTTGCTCATCTTGCTCACACCCTTTCACTGTCGAAACTGTTAAATGTAGCCGTCTCTTCTACTCCAATAGCTTCATGTCTCGCACCTCTCGCCTGTGGAGCTCCCCTCTTTTCCTGTTACCCAACTATTCAGTTGTAATGTCAATCGACGTCTCCAGATGCCATATCCTTTACGTCATCGTTTCCTCTATCATTCCTTTGCTCTAGCTCCAACTATCTGTAACTCCTTGCGTGCTAGTGGCTTCCCGCCTTGCTTGGGTTGAAACGCTTAAAAAAGATAAAGCTGACTGTAAGTTTTAAGCAGAAACTCAGCGTACCTAAAGATTAGTAATAGTAATTCTTCCACATGCTTCGTATTCTCTAAGACTTTAACTCGTCGCTTATCTTTTGACGCCATGTAACTTGCCATTTTCAGAGAACAATGCATCGAAAAAATCAACCAATCAAACCTGGAAATATTCTTTTATGATGGAATAGCGATTTTTATCAACGAACGGTATAAGGTCATAGACAGCAAGGGAACAAGCTATAATTTGTGAAAAACGATGACATGAATTTATATATAGATGTTGTTGAAAATTCTGGCAACTTTTTACATCAGCTGTAATACAATAGCATTCATTATATAATTCACTGCAAGGTAATGATTATAAAATAAGCGCATATTATACAAGAAAAGACACGAGCTTGCAAGTGCATTGGAAAGCACGCATGCGCAATGCACCTATGTGAAAATGTGAAAACGTGATTCTTGGTTATTATCTGCAAGAAATCGGGTTAATAAAATGAAATGAAAAAATATTCAAAATGGAAACAAATACATTTAATGGATTTAAAGTGAACATATGCGTGCATTTTTATGTACAAATCCGTAGCTTGATAAGTTTATATGTCAATTACTTCTGACGTTAAGGTTTCTGCTTATCTATCTATCTATCTATCTATCTATCTATCTATCTATGTCAGTATGTTCATATCTATCTATCTATCGCAGTCTGCTCATATCCATCTATCTAACAATCTATGTCAGTCTGTTCTTATCTATCTATTTATGTCAGTCTGTTCATTTCTATCTATCTATCTATCTATCTATCTATCTATCTATCTATCGCAGTCTATTCATATCCATCTATCTAACAATCTATGTCAGTCTGTTCATATCTATCTATCTATCTATCTATCTATCTATGTCAGTCTGTTCATATCTATCTATCTATCTATCTATCTATCTATCTATCTATCTATCTATCTATCTATCTATGTTCATTTCTATCTATGTAATAAAACTCAAATGCATTAATTTAAAATACGTAAAACTGACAGGATTAAGCCTATTTTTAGGGTAGCAGATCTGCTAAATCGCTCAGTAGAGAACTAGAGCAATGTTATTCTTGGTCGACTCCAGAGTTTCGCATCAAATCCATCGTTAATGTCAAAGGCTCTGTTAATCGATCTTATTACAGAACAAACGCAACTCATAAATTTCAAATTAACAGATAATAATTTATATATAATAAGTGTGTATATGTGTACACATATAGGGCGCGATGGATAAATTGTCGCCATTTTATATTTGGTTTTGATTTTGTCAATTTCACTGTAGGATCAGTCAGGCACTGTCTGTGAGAAAAAGAGCACTATGACGCAATTCACTCTGCCAGAAACTTGGAAACAGCATGCTGTACTGATTGGGAATCGCCCCGGAAGCACCAATTTCAGCGTGTTTTTAGGTGTCAATCTGTGGACAGTGAAGAAGATTCGAAAAGAGTTCGATGAGTCTAATGGTGATTACCAAGGTACGGCTGCCCGGCAACCTCACTGGGATCGTTCCGATAAGAAAAGAACTACCGAATTTGTTGGTGAGGGCCTCAGTCTCAACATGAAGGCCTACAGTTTTGCCTTCAGGAGTTAGTGCTGTCCTTGTTTAAGATGGTGAGTGCAAAAGGACACTTCACCATGCCACACAAGCAGGAGAAACCAGTCATGACTGTCAGGAAATTTCTGCGACCACATTACCCCTTACATCTGGCTACCCAACTCCGCAAACTACAACACCCTTGATTATTGTGTGTGGGGCCCATTTGAACGAGAGACCAACAAAACACCTTGTAACACCAGATGAACTAAAGGCAAGGCTGATATTCGTAATGCACAGTTAAAAGCAAAAATAAAAATGAGATGTCTATTTCAATTATGAGTATCCAGTATATTAATACTTGACGTAACACACACACACGCACACACACACACACACACACACACACACATATATACATATATATATATATATATATATATATAAAAGAAAATAAATAATAATACTAATAAAAATAATACAAATTATTATTATTGAAATTTAAATTATTGAAGTAATTCTTCTGAGATTAGCTATTAGGATAAATCAATCAGCATTAATCCAAGGTATGGAAAATATTTAAGAAGTTAACACAGACTTTATTTTGATGTTTAAAAGGATCATTGAAAATTGGACAGATTTTTCGAATGCAAAAGTAATCACTGCTGAGATTAATGTAAGCTGCATACTAACTACAGCCAGGTCGCATAAGCTTGTCAGTTTTTATCTATCTATCCCTCTATCTATCTATCTATCTATCTATCTATCTATCTCTATCTCTCTCTCTCTATCTATGTATATATATATATATATATATATATATATATATATATATATATATATAAATATATATATATATATATATATATCAGGCTGTTCTTTATTTCTCTCTCTATCTGTAAAGGTATGTTAATATCTATCTATCTATCTATCTATCTTAGACAGTTCTTTCTCTCTCTCTCTTTCTCCTTCTCTCTCTCTCTTTCTCCTTCTCTCTCTCTCTCTATCTCAGGCTGTACTTTATGTTTCTCTCTCACACACCACTTTCTCTCTCTCTCTCTATCTATCTATCTATCTATCTATCTCAGGCTGCACTTCATGTTTTTCTCATACTCACCTTCTATCTATTTTTCTATCTGAGGCGGTTCTTTATTTTCTCTCTCTCTCACTCTATCTCAAACTATTCTTTTCTCTCTCTCTCACTCTATCTATCTATCTCAGACAGTTCTTTCTCTCTCTTTCTCTCTCTCTCTCTCTCTCTCTATCTATCTATCTATCTATCTATCTATCTATCTATCTCAATCTATTCCTTCGTATCTGGATCTGGTAATATCTATCTATCTATCTATCTATCTATCTATCTATCTATCTATCTATCTCTGACAGTTCTTTCTCTTTTATTCTCATTGTACTATATCATTATGATATATATAATAAGCTCAAGTGCCAAATTTTGTTTCTGATTGAAAGAGACGACTGTACCAGCTCTTTGAATACACTCCACTAAACGCTGCTTCTTGCAGATAA